AAGTTTGTAAGAACCACATCTAGAGAAACATTACCATGACAACTGTGTCTCCATCTATAGTAAGGTCACAGGGACCAGGAAATTGTAGGAAAAAAACCTTTGGAGAAGACATTGGCATTATTAATAGAAAGGATGCTGGAATATCCTGTTTATTTTATTGAAATTTAGGATGATATTCTCTTAATTTTAAATCTTAGAATTTGTACAAATGGTTATGTGGAAACCAAAACAGTTTGACTTTGGTAGAGGTCCCACCATTTATTAATTATCTCAAATTAGTCCTTACATAGAGTGAGTGTAGCCTTGATTTTCATAGATGCAACATTTAAGAACCACTAAGCATAAATGATCCCACAGGCTACATTATTGATTTGTACATTTGCTGTTGCAAAAATTTCACCTGTGTTCCTCATGAGGCAGATATGTATAGATGTCATTTAGCTAAAAGACTAAGTTTAGTGAACCATGCACCATATATATTTTAACACGGAGGTTTCTGGATGTAATGACTCTCATCAACTGATATAATACTACTTTTGTCAGGACGAAATATCACTATATAAGAGAGGAAATATTACAGATGTTGAAAAGTAACTATCATGCAATGGGAAAGGAAACTGTCAGGAGAAATCACAGGTGGTGCAGACACTTCCAAATTTATGAAGTAGGGTAACTGTGAACTCAAGAGAAGCAGGGATCAACCACATTTTCTAAAGGTTTTATAACTGAAAAAGGATGGTTTGAGGAGAGAGAAGTAATTTTATTTCCACAGAAATAGGCTAGGTAAGCACTCTTGGAAAGTCTTAGATATTACCATGAAGGTCATGGTACATGTCAGTCTACCTATACTTTGCCTCATGCTCAGAAAGATTAGTTCTAGGCATATTTGAGGATGAGACACCATCTAAAATTAAACAAAATTATGGAGGTTTACTTCACCAGAGAATTTTAAGATATGTAATTCTTTTATAGAAATGGTCCTCAAAATGTAGTCTCTTGCCTGGTAATTTCTTAGAAATGCACTTTCTCAGGCTTTACCCTAGAACTAGTGAGAGTGAAATTCTAGGTCTGGTTTTACCAATTTTAATTTTAATAAACGTTCTAGTGATATATACTACATTTTTTTCTTTTAGTGTCCTTAATAATTACCAGATAACAATATAACAGTGATGTTGTTTTAGGAAGCCAATGAGAATCCTAGAAGGGAAAAGAAAAAAAAAAAAAACAACTAAAGACTAGATGCTAAGGGAAAGAACAGTTGACAAAAGGACGGGAGGGACCCAAAACAAGTACCAAAAGATTCTATTTCAAGGGCTACAGGCAATGAGTGACCCTGTGCAGCAAACAATAGCCCTCTATGCTGAAACCCCCCTGAGACAAGAACGAGTCTTACGGCTATTACTGATGTATCATCACCATTCCTTGAGAGAGAATATCTGATGTTCCAAGCACCATGCTAGGGGCTTACATAGATTATCTAATGTAATCATTAAAGTTAAACCCAAAGCCACTGCTATTGAGTCAATTCCTACTCAAAAGCAACTCTATAGGACAGAACAAAACTGCCCAATAGGATTTCCAAGGCTGTAAATCTTTACAAAAGTAGACTGCTTCATCTTTTTCCCATGGAGTGGCTGTTGGGGTCAAACCACCAACCTTTTGGTTAGCAGCCGAATGCCTTACCCACTGCACCACCAGAGTTCTTTGGCTTCCATTTAGAATAATTTGAAATTCTCATTTTATATCTACTTTACAGGTAACAAAATCATTGCTTAAAGAGGTTAAGTAGTTTACCCCAAATTTTATGTAGGCAGTAAGAAGGGAAATTGAGATGTGAATCTCACACACAGCTAACTGCTGTGAGGGGTAACTCGTGTTGTTGTTATGTGCCATCGAGTTGGACTCAACTCATAGCGACCCTTCCTTGGGTTTCCAAGGCAGTATCACTACAGAAGCAGATTGCCCAACTTTCTTTTCTTCATAGTACCTTGAACCTAAGGGTGGCCTTACCAGGAAGATAAACAGTATTTACTTAAGAATCAAGATAACAGCAAAAAAAAAAAAAAAAAAAAAAGATAGGGACTCTAAATTTGAAAAGAGGCTTTCATTCTATAGGAAGGTGCTGTGGGGTTGGGAGAGAGATTGAGCCAGCATACCTAGAAGTAGGACTTTTGATGTGGTGAAAAATATGTGAAATTGTTCACTACAGATTGCAACCAAGAGTGATCCTTGTATATAGTTTTTGCCTGGGCTAGAGTTGAAGCACTGAGTAAAGCAGTTTGAACAAACTGACAACAACAAAGCTGAGCATCCCAAGGAGAAGTGGTTGAGCATCTGGTGTTAGAAACCATACGCCCACATCTATATAATTTCCAGGGGGAAAACAAAACAAAATGAAATAAAACCCTCCCTAATTTAGGCACAGGAAGAGACAATCATTTCTTAATCCCTTTACAAGTATATCCTTTATTACTCATTTTTTTCCTTTAAAGCCATGTGACGAATATGAAATTACAGTACAATTTTGAATGAGACATAGATGGACTTGAAACTCTATCTTAAGTCAACAGGAATGCTTGGGGAAGTTCCTTATCCTCAACTGTCTTTATTTTTTGCATATACTTAAAGTGCCTAACGCATTTGACTGCTAACCAGAAGCCTGGCTGTTCAAACCCACCAGCCACTCCTCAGAAGGAAGACTGGGCAATCTACTTCCATAGAGATACCACCGTGGAGACCCAAGGAGGGATCACTATGAGTCGGAATCAACTCATAGACCATGAGTTTGGTTTTTGGAATAGTGATATGTGAGAATTAAATGAGATAATGAATGAACAGTACTTGGATTCAGTAGGTTCTAACCCATTCCTTCCGAGGAGTGGCTGGTGGGTTTGAACTGCTAGCCTTCTGGTTAGCAGTCAGGTGCCTTAGGTAATATGGGGCAATCTACTTCCGTAGTGATACTGCCTCAGAAACCCGAGGAGGTGTTGCTATGAGTCGGGTCCAACGCTATGGTACATAACAACAACAACAACAACCCATTCCTTAATGTTAAGTTAAATTTAATTTCATGTACTGAGATGGCAAGGAGGATCCAACCTCACTCTAGCTCTCACCCTCTTGGAATGGTCATATTTGTAGCTAAAAAGTACACAGATTAATAAGAAAATAAGGGGAGGTGCTTTGGGAATTTGGTACGAAGAGCTCAGTGTTAAATATACATTTCGTAGTCCTTAAAATCATAGCAAAATTCTTCCATTCCAGTGGAAAGTTCTTTGTTTTTGATTCCACATGGCTTTGGCTCCAAACTCCATGTATATTCTTTAATCTTGTTCAAGTAACCTAAATTTAACAAACCTCTGTGGTGTGACTGGAAACCAAGGAATATAATACTCAAATACTCAAATATTATTCAGTATAAAATAATGCACCATTTCTAGTTGTGGTTCCTAAGAACTTTTTAATGACACTAAAGGGAGTAAAGATACTAAAATTGTGTAGGAATCTTGATATAATATGGAGTTGATTATTGGGGTAAAATGTATTCTAAGGTGCTTTAAGTCAACTAGCTATCTCTCTTTCCCCTGTCATTGAATCAGGTCGAAGTTCTCCTTTCGTTGTAAGTGGTCTATCTGTGTGTTTGTGTTTATATGTGTTTGAGTATGTTTGTATGAATGAGTGATGCACTTGAATGTGTTATGAAGGGCCTGGTAAATGAAAATATTTACATGTTTACATATCTCTAGTTATGCTTACATATTTAAATGTTGGCTGAGTTCCAAAGCTTGGTGTCTCAAGTACTAAACTACTAGGAAAGTACACTCTGCTTAGACTGTGATAGAGACTTTGCAAACCAGTAGACATGTCTTTTACAATCAATAAAATGAAGCTGTAAACCATTGCAAATGGACCAATATACAGGTCACATGACTAAATCACCCCTGCACCAGACAGTCTCTGATGTATTTTATTCCAGTTTCAATCAATTAATCAGAAGAGTTGGGAGAGCAATAATTTAAATGCTGCAATAATCAATTCTATAACACATTAATAGAAGCTACAGTCAAACTTTGCCACACCACTGACTGCACTAGAATTTTGACAGGAACCTTAGGGCCATGCCTAATTTGCATTAAATTTACATAAAACTGTAAATCAAGACTACATGAACACAGCTCTAATATTTGTTAGTGCTTAGATCTTTCCTGATAGATGGATGAAAATGCTGGTGGTTTCACTTTGCTTGCAATAAAATTGTGCAGCTGATCAGCTTTGTTCTCATTTTGCAATTATGGAGAAAGTGACCCAAGAGAGCTATCAGTTAGGGGTATGTATATACCATCTTGGGTTTTCATCCTGTAAAACTATGACTTAGATGTGCCCTTGGAAACCCCAATACAGACACAGATTGTCCCCAATGACTTTGCAAAGTCTTGTCACTGGATTTGCTCACAAATAATTTGTCATGAAATGTATGTACAAACTACATAGAAAGCTGGTGAGCTGGAATTATGTCTAACCCTCCAGAAATTTTTATTTTATTTTAAATTTACTATTGTGAAAACAAATAATTAGGCATATTTTTCAGGCTGAGCATAATTAAACAAAATCTTCTTAAATTCAGCAAAGCATCCAGTACTTACTAGTATGATAAACAGAACTTCACATTGTTATAAGCATTCCATGTGCTCTTTTTCCCTTATTTGAACTTGTTCCAAGAGCATGGACCTTGCTGTGCATTTTACACTCAGGGCTAAGAGAAAGTATTCTCACCAAGGGTATTGGCTCACAGTGGAAGAGGTCCTTTCTATATACTCTGCTTAGTCCCCTCATTTTAAGTCTATCCTGCTAAAAAGTAAATAGATCCTTAAGGGCAATAATATATTTGGAAGTGTTTAGCCTCCCATACCCCATCTCCCATGTGGAAGGAATTTGCAAATATTTTGTGTATCATGATTATTCTACCTCTTCCTTACTACCGTCTATCCCACTTTTCTTACCTTGCACGATCAAGTAAACTTGGGAGGTCTTGGGCTCATGCTGTGTCTGAACTGAGCAAGTATAGGAACCCTCATCATAGACATCCACCTTCTGGATTCGGAGGCTGTATTCCAGAGAATGGCGCTTTTCCAGCTCAACCCGGGGGTCCAGAGACCACTTGTCATGTCCAGCGAAAATGATGCCAGAACGGTTCAACCAAGCCACCTTCGAGTTCTTATCATCTACAACACACCTGGCAGAGCAGAGTAACAATGTTAGAGCCTTAACCATAATGAAATCTGCTTTCATTCTCCACATGATCAGACACAACAAGACCAATAAAAAATAATAATTATATGCAAGATGAATCATTGTCATGTCATTTCTCATACTCCTAAGTGTTTTCACAATTTATCCTTTAAGTCTAATTACCACCATAGCCTTGGGACAAATCAGTCAATGGCATAACATAATTCATAAAAATTATGATCTGCATCCCAGTGAAGTGAATAGTGTTGGGGGTCTTAAAAGCTTACAATTGGCCATATAAGACAAACTATGGGTCTCTCCTTCAGGAGCAAAACAATAAGAAGGTAACCAAAAGCTCAGAGAACAAACAAGTTTACACAAGCCACAACCTCATGTAACCCAAAATCAGAAGAACTAGAAGGTGCCCAGCTACCACCATTAACCATTCTGACTAGGAACACAATAGATGGTCCCCACCTGATATTTAATTTTTGTCTACTACTACAGACACTTGAGGAATGGCAAAATGAGCAGTCCTGCTTGGCAGAAACAAAAACTAAAATCTTCCTCTGCAAGGGAGACTATCCCCTGAGATCAATTGTTAGTGAAATAGCAGAGTGGCATGTGAACTAAGGGATATTACCCTTAAGATCAGTGCTCTACTTTTTAGCCAAATAATAGACAGGTCTACAATATGAACAATAAGCTGGCAGGGGGTGCACATCCCTTAACAATCAACCATTCAAGTTCAAAAGGGCAACATTTTCCCAAAGACAAAGTTCAGAAAGCAGCAAGGGTTAGGAAAGAAAGAGGAACAGAAATGAGAAACACAGGAAAGAAGTGGGATGAGTGATGTTATATTGAAGGGGATCACAATCAATGGCATGAAACAAAATGTGTTTGAATTGCTGAATGGAAAACTGATTTGCTCTGTAAACTTGCACCAAATCACAATAAAATGCATTCTTAGAAAACAAAAACATCAGTATGAGAACAAAACCTCAATAATTACTCAAATGCAAAGATGAGAATATAAGGGAAGAAGGAAATTAGAGTACAGGGAAGGGAACAAACAGAACACAATTAAAGAGGATGTTGATACATTGTGATAAATGTAACTAATGTCACTGAACAATGTGTATGGAAATTGTCAAATCAGAACTTAACTTGCTGTGTAAAATTTCACCGAAAACTCAAAGAAATATATTTTAAAAAATATCTAATTATAATCCAATGGATGAATGTTATCCTTTTAGACTCAATTCAGCTATAAACAATCTGAACATAAGTAATGTAGGTAAATACAGCTAACTGAGAACTGACTTTGATTATTCACAGAAGATTCTATCTTGCTAAGTTTCAACTTTGAGATTTATCCAGCAGATACTGTGGCACATTTACTCAGTCCTGAACTGTACTTACTCTTTCATAGGTACATTATGATAGTCTTTTGTGGTGCAGATACAAGCTATGCTCCACTTCTGTAGTAGTTAAACTAGATTTTAAAGTTTGCCTTGGATTCTTACAGGTTTGGAAGTCTCACTCTTAGGAATGAGAAGTATGTGAGCACCAAGGCAGGTCTAATGGGAAGAGCATAGGTGTCAAGGGATCAAAACAAGTATCATCTAACATAGCTCTGGTTCCGAGGTACAGGACAACCCTCTTTCTGCTGGGGAGACAAGTTGCTACCAGCATTTCTGGCCACATTAGAATGAGTTTCACCTTTTACAGGAAATGAAGAAACTAATATCATAGTTCATCTTTCAAGGGAGGTGAAGGAGAAATGCTTATTTGAATTACAACTTATTTTAGGATCCTAAAAGTATCTTTTTCTCTTGAAAGCAAGTGGGGAGAAAAAAAAAATGGTTAATGGAGAAGGGATAGACACTGCAGATTAGTAGAATTTTCTCCTTCAATTCCAAGAGAAGTCTGGCAATGGAAAGTCATAAACAAATAAACAAAACTTCTCTCTCGATCTCTTTGGCAAGATATATGTCTGCCCCACAGGGAAATTGTCTCAGTCCCTGTTCACAGCTGTAGAGCCAGCTGTTCAGCACTCCAGAGTGTGAGGGGGTGGACAGAAGGAGCCAGGAGCACCACAGAAGAATGACTAAAACAGCATGTTCCCTGTTATTTCCAAACCACATCAAATCCAGATTTTCATTCAGGTCAAATCAGCCAGGCATAGAGATTCCACAGCCATGCATAGTTAGAAAATTGTTCCATATAATCCACATGCTTTCCATCTTAGAGACATTGAAGCCAACTTGTATTTCTCATAAGAAGGAGAAAGGACGAAAAAAAAGTCAAGTTGAATCTGACTCCTAGAGATCCCTTGGGTTTCCAAGGCAGTATCTCTGTGGAAGTAGGTTGCCCAGTCTTCCTTGTGAGGAGGGGCCAGTGGGTTTGAATCACCAGCCTTCTGGTTAGCAGTCAAGTGCTTTAGGCACTATGCCACCAGAGCTCCTCACACATGGCACAACAGTCCTTCTCATACCGCTATTTTTACGTGTAATGTACAGTTTATTTAGAGAGAATTTCATTTAATGAGTTGAGTTCCAAGATACTCAGGTCTTTACCAAGATACTCAGGTCTTATTTTCTTCTCCTCCTACTTGTTTTTATAAACCTAGCTAGAATTAAGGGATCATTTAGTATCTCCATTTCCCAGTACATGTTTCTCTGCCATGCAGATATTGTTAAGACTAATCACATGTGTTTGACAATTTTGAGCAAATAACTTCATGGCTACTTGCCACTTCATTTCATCTTTAATTTCACTTTCCCTGATCTACTCTTTTGTGGCATCATTTCTCTGTCTTTCCTGATGTTTATACCACTCAACTAAGACTCATTAATGAATTAATTAATGGGCTATTTGCTTGTCTTCTTCTAGATCATTAATGAAGTTCTTGAATATTGATTTACTGTGTATTTTTTTCCTACTTAGATATATGGAAATTTACCTCTATAAATACATTTTACATCCTCTGTCACATTTCTCCTGCACTTTTCTCACCAGCCAGCTCAAGGCAATAGTGGGAAGTTTGCTACATCACAAATATACTTGGAATATTGTTTGGCCCAGAATATGATTCTAATCTCTTCATTTTGAAAAAGAATGACCTATAAGCCAGATAAGGTCAAGACTTTGGTCTTATTCATTTGGGTATCCCCCAAACTAACCTGGCATAAAACAGGCCCTTGATAAATGTCCATCATGTGAAATAATAGTGTTACATAAGTACACAAGACATATGGTCAACTATTTTCCACCTTCATCCCAAGTCCAACAATAGTCATTTATAAATTGGGCAGATTTCATTCTCAGCACAAGGTAGAGTTTCAAAGCCAGGTGTCTAGGGTTTGTTGGACATTTTAGCAATTTTTGTCCATGGAAAAGTTAAAATTATCACACAGATCATTATTCCAAATTATTCACATAGACTGTTCAGAACTATTTTACCTAAAGAAGTAATTGACTATTTCAGCAGATTTTCCAGACGCATAAAAATGCATCTACTGAAACTATAAAGTATATGGAAATTTGATGATGACAGCTTACATAATAGCTTATTTTTTTACATTGGGTTTCATCCATATGTATTTTTTAAACTTATATTTGCTTCCAAATAAGTAAAAGAAGTATTAGAAGACACAAACATACACTCACACATTTTCCTGACTTATTATGGTTAGCAAAATACCAAGCACCAGACAAATACAGAATATTGTTACAGGAAACCACTTATCCAGATGTTGAAGGAGTCTTTTTCTTCATGTTGCCACTAAAGTAAATGTAAAAGGAGCTCTGGTGATGCAGTGCCTAAGGCATTTGACTGCCTTAGGTTGATAGTTAAAACCCACCAGACACTCTGTGGAAGGAAGACGGGGCAATGTACTTCTGTAAAGATTTACCACCTTGGAAACCCAATGGGGGTCTCAGTGAGTCAGAATCAACTCGATAGCAGTGAGTTTGGTCTTTTTTAAAGTAAATGTATTGAATGTTTAAACTAGAAAATAATCCTTCTACAATGTGATTAAATCTTTCATACTGAAAAATGATCAAAAGAATAGAGTAATTGCAGAACTAGCTTAATTTTTTTTTAATTTTAAAATCTTTATTTAAGATAGCAACTATCTTTTTATCAGAAAAACAGCACATAAGAAAAGAAAGGCGAAAAATAAACTTGTAGTTGTAATTTGTAGAACTCTATGTTTATTAGAAAACTTTATTAATATCAGTAAAACACTCTGATACATTACTGGACAATATGAATAACTGTGAACATTGTCTGATATTGTGCCAGAAGATGAGTCCCTCAGGTTGGCAGGCACTCTAAATATGACTGGGAAAGAGCTGCCTCCTCAGAGTAGAGCAGACCTTAATGATGTGGATGGAGTAAAACTTTTGAGACCTTCCTTTGCTGATGGCGCATGACTTAAAATGGGAAACAATTGTAAACATAATTGGAACGTGGAATCCATGAAGTATGAATCTAGGAAAATTGGAAGTAGTCAAAAATGAAATGAAATGCATAAAGATCAATATAGGAGGCATTAGTGAGCTGAAATGGATTGGTATTGGCCATTTTGAATCTGACAAAATGGTCTATGATGCTGAGAATGGCAAATTGAAGAGGTATGGCATTGCATTCATTGTCAAAAAGAATGTTCCAAGATCTATCCTGAAGTAAAATGCTACCAGTGATAGGATAATATCCATATACCTACAAGGAAGACCAGCTATTATTCAAATATACACACCAACCACTAAAGTCAAAGACAAAGAAACTGAAGATTTTTACCAACCTCAGGAGTCTGAAATTAATTAAACACGTAATCAAGATGTACTGATAATTATTGGTGATTGGAATGTGAAAGTTTGAAACAAAGAAGAATCATCAGTAGCTGGAAAATATGGTCTTGGTGATAGAAATGACACATGATAGAATTTTGGAAGACCAATGACTTATTCACTGTAAAAACCTGTTTTCAACAAAAT